GTGAGTTTTTTGTACTCACAAAGAACTATTTATTGCTCTACAGAAGAGGGGATAAAAATCTTGAAAAGAAAAGGCTATTAATGATTGATGATAGACATTTAAAATTAAAAAAAAATCACCAAGTTGAAAATAGATTTCCACAGTCAAATTTTATTACAAGCACTTTTACTCCTTTTGCAAGCTTTATTAGTTGGTGGTAAAATGCTGGTTGATATTGACAATCACTAACCTAAAGTTTATTGACTTAAATTTGTTAGCTACAATTATTACTATTTTTAGTGTGCTTTTGCTAATATGCCTCAAAAAAATGACTGCTCAATGACGAGAGAATGGAAAAGGGAAATAAAATGCTAGTTGATATGTTAGTGATAGGGACTAAGAGTGCAGTGAAACTAGAAGATGTGAGTGATTTAAGCCCATTAAGCTGCGGGACTGTATAGCACAGTTACTGCTGTAACTAATAAACAGTAATGTCCGAAATTACTGGTGATTTCTTTCTCAAGTCTTTTTTCTTACGAGTTTAGCTCATTTCACTGTCTGCTACTCTGCTCCCAAATCGTGCTTTCAGCTGAAAGGCTGTATAAAGGAAGATGGCATTTGAAATGACCAGCTGATACTTTACACTGACAAATGCAGCATGCAAATGGATTTGAAAGCTCAATAAAAAAGGTTTCAGTGAACTTCTGTCCAAAACTTGGACAGCGTGTCATTGAAGAGAAGGCATACTAGGAGCTGCCTGCTGTGGTGAAGACACTTTACTGGAAGGGCAAGCCTACGCCACATAGTTTCCTCTACTGTCCTCAGTGCAACACCTGTTTTTGGGTTTGGATCCCAGCAGTGGACCCACCAAACAGATCCAGGGTAGTGCTTCCCTATGAACAGTCCTGGATTTGGGAGTGGTAGGTGCCTTTTATTGTCAGCGTACCAGGGACTGCGAGTGGCTTATTATTTGGCTGAAAGAAATGAAAAGTTACGTTAGCTGCCTTTGGCACATCTGGAGTTGTCCACACCTTCTCCATCAGTGAGTAGAAGTCTGTTCTGTAGTAATGCCTGGTGGATATCTCAGACAGGTGTTCTTCCCCCTTTGAAGTGCTGCCACAGTCACGCTTTGTGGACACTTAGTTCTGAAAGTAACTGCTCCATCTTCTCTAATCCTCTGGGAAGGGGAGATCTTTAAAGACAGACCTTAAATCAGCTAGGGAATGTATACAAAAAGATGCAGGAAAACCAGAGACTATTCTTGACTGGTGATTTTGTCTTGAATGTATCTTGAAAGATTAGCCGCTCTACTTTGTCATCAACAATTGTTTTAATGGTTTTTCGTGCGGTTTTTTTTTTTCCAAATTGTTTTATTTTTTTAAGCATGCAGAATCATTTTCCAGTGCCAGTGACTGGATAATAGAATGAGATGAAGCCACCACTGACTTAGATTGTAGGACTGAGCGATTGCTGGTAGTTTCAGCAGTAGGTCAGTATGCACCAGGATTAATACCAGTACGTAACTAAAACCGGATATAGTTGCAAAACAGCACACTATAACTGTTTGTTTTTAAACATTTAATAGATAGCCCAGGCTTTAAAAAAATAATTAAAATAAGGCTTCTGTGAATTCCTCTGTATAATAGTCTCACAGAGTTTAAGTCTGTCACCCACTATAAGTCAAGAGTTTATCAGCAGATTGTAGGTTAAAGGGAGGCAGGGGCAAAACCATATGGTAGGAAAGAACAGAAAAAAATATATCAATGAACATTCTAACATGAATGCTTTTAGCGATTGTGAGCGAATGTGACAGCTGTTGTGTGACAATCGATTCAAATGTGGTTATATAATCCATTGTTTTTTTCCTTTTTCCCCCCAAAGAAAAGGAAATACGCTATTAATAGTGCTATATAGCACTTAAATACTATGTAAATGTTACACATATTGTATTTATTTATTAAAATTTAGATTGAGAAATCTAGAATGAGAAATATAAAACTCCTTTACAGGTCTCTTTTAAAATGCGAATTTATGTCTCAAGGGGCCAGTGGAACTTAAAGTATAAATACAGTCTGTATTTAGGGAGTTTTAAAGACACATATTACTGAATTGATCGAGCATAACAGTTCCCTTGCTTAGGAAGCATTATGCTCTGTCTTGTAAAATGTACTTGGGGACATGTAAAATGGTTTATTAAACCTACAGTCCATAACTACAGTTGTTACATTTTTATGTATATATTTTTCATTCATGGATTATTGAACCACTAAATCCTAACAATTTGTCCTCATGCCAAACAATTTCTTTGAGTCTTGTTCTGAGTCTTTTCAGTAACTGTGTAACTGTTGGAACATACCCCAGATCCTTGAATTTTAAAGCTATTTTTCAGTGCCCCCCTGTGTACAAATGTACATTTAAAAGCAGGCAAGGAATGAAGTTTCTGTTTACTTTTGAGTAAAATGCTTTCACAGAAAGAAATCCATGAGATATTTCTGGGTGGGAGATCTGGAGTTTTGGGGAGAAAACTCTTGAATGTAAAGTGTTGTTTATAACCATGAAGAGTGTGTACAAAAACAAATAAGGAAAATAACTACATATTCCATTGGATGAAACATTTTTCTCAAAACTTCAGGACGGCCTGCTATTTAGAGAGTGTCTTTCTGCCTGCTTTTACATGGCAGATTATTCTTTCCTGCTAGTGAACAGTTGGCACAAGTTATAAAACAGTGGTGGTTGAAGCCTACTGGGTGTGCCCAATGATTTCAGGGTATTGGGCTTGGACTGTATTTACCTTCCATTTTCTTACATTGTTATTAGAAATAACTTCAAGGAAGAGGCTGAACTACAAAGAGCTGAGAAATAGGAAAGTAGCATCTCTTCGCTGCATTTTCCAAGGCCCCAGATAAGTGATATTCGCAGTACATAAAATATCTCTATTGATCTGAAATACCTCATTGCTGTGTTGAACGGATGACTCTCCTACAAACACATATCTAGGGTTTGTTATTCATCTCATGCCTGAAGAGAAACAGGAACTGAGAAAGTTAATGGGTATAACTCTGTGGTCTAGGCTTCAAGGTTTTCAGTGACAAAATAGCCATCTAAAAGATCTTTTACTGGTGTTGATTTTATGAAATAACTTTCATCAAGGCAACAACATCACAGTATTTGTGAAATGGCACACTGAGGAGGAAAATGGATAAAATCACAGAGGTTGTCTTTATTTTTTTCCATCTGGAAAAACGTGGCTGGTTTAGAGAGTAATAGAGCAAGTTTAGAAAAAGAATGACATTTGCTCTAAATGTGCCTAATTGTGTTATTACAGGCCAAAATCTCTTGTCTTTAGAGAGATAAAGATGCTTCAAACATTTTCTGAAAGAAAGGGAATTTATACAAAGCAAGTTTTGAAAGGACAATTTATCCTTTATTTTTACTCGGTGCAACTTTGTTCTGTTAGGAATACTGATTTCCATGAGAAATAACCTTTAGCTTGCTTTTTCAGCAATCCTCTCTTTCCTTTTTTTCTGTTCTCTTTGGTTGTTATTATTACAACATTTCAGATTATTTATTCTGAGGCATTCCCATGAGTAGAAAATTTCTTAAAGAAGAATATAGCCAAGATACAGAAGAGTTTAGTTTGTTTGCCTCTGACTGAGAAGTGATTTTGCCATCCCTTAAGCTATAAACTGTTTTTTCAGGCTATGAGAGTCTACGCTGTCATTGGAGGTATGGTTAATGACCAGACTCTTTGAATCCCTTATATTTGTCTCAGATCCCTTTTTTAGTTTGTACTGGTTAGGAAGCACTGTACAGGACCTAAGGGCTGCACTGAAACCTTCTACTGTAGTGTCTGACAGTGAGCATTTACCAGATCACCTGTTACCTGGGACTACTAAATTCAGCTCTCAACAGAATCAGTTTAGGAACTATTTTCAGATTGGTTTCTTGAAGACTATTTTATGTTTTGTAAAATGTGGATTAAGCACCTATTAATATTATAGATTACAAATGCAATGCAATATTTGAAGTATCATTCGTTTCAAGCTGGTGACTTTAATCAGTTTTACCATTTTAAATGAGAAAATCGTTCCCCTCTTGTTATCTTAAATGTTAATTAATCTGTCTTGCACCAAAATACTCATCAGAATAATTGAATATTGCTTACACACAGCTGATTCTGGACATTTCTAAACCATCTATTTAAGACAAGAATTAATAGAAAATAACCCTAGATATTTTTTTCCCTATGAAAATAGTAATTTATTTTAAAAAGATATTTCAGTTATTTAGTGGGGGTTTTTTTTTGGCTTTTTTCCTATGAAGAATATTGTGGTGGTTTCTACAAATATTACAATTCTTGTAACCCTTCTCCTGCTCTAGATGTGTACCATATACAGATAATTTTTTTGGGGAGGTGTTTTTTCATCAGATAGCTTTTGGTATTAAGTGCGTAGTTTCCATATTCTTAAATCATGCACAATACCATATTAAAACAGGAAAATGAAAAATCTATAACAAAGAAAGCTTGAAATATAGGAATAAAATGGGAAAGCACACATGCATGTACATGAATAAACAAAACAATCAAGTGGGAATAATCTACAGTTTACTTGTCAAATTTAAGTGTAGCATTTTTAAGAATCACAGTCATCACACTTGACCTTTTAAACTTCTGTAGTAATAGTAAGAGTTTCTTCTTTTTTTATTTTTCTTCTTTTTTTTCTTCACCTGTTGCTATCAGAGCCAAGATCAAAAAAGAAGTTGTTACACTTACATGTCAAGAATCATGACACCTGGAGAAAAGCAGAATGCATTATTTCTTTGTGAGAGCGTTACACAATAAGACTTGACTGACATTTTACAAAATCTGAGATGCTTTCTGATCAGTTGATTTAATTAAAACAAGATATTCATTTCTGTGCAATGCCTGTACATAATCTATTTTAAGACTTCCAAGCATACAAGTATATAGCGTCAAATAGTATTAGGTTGTCTTGAATGACTTGTTATTCTGTTTGCAGATACCTCAAGTCAGCTATGCATCTACAGCTCCAGAACTGAGCGATAACACCAGGTATGACTTCTTCTCTCGAGTGGTCCCACCGGACTCCTACCAAGCACAGGCCATGGTTGACATTGTGACGGCTCTTGGGTGGAACTACGTCTCGACACTGGCTTCCGAAGGCAACTATGGAGAGAGTGGTGTGGAGGCGTTTACCCAGATCTCCAGAGAAATTGGTGAGTGTATGTTTATCAGGTTTTGTATTTATAGCTGCCAGGTTACACAGAGCATCGCTGAGCTCCGCCTAGGTCTATGCAGAGTGATCAGAACACCTGCAGGTGTGTTACCTGGACTCAGGTGGAGTGGGTTATGGAATGTTTTGCTGCTCGCACCTCTGCCAAGGTGACAGTTCTGGCAGTAATATAAGAAATGCTCCTGGTAGGTCTCTTGCCCCTTTTGCAAAGGGGGAGCTCCTTGATCAGATAGGGGCAAAAAGCAACCACTGGCTGGACTGCCGCCAGATTTGAGGAGATTCAATTGATTTAGTTTAGGAAAATCACAGTCCAATGAGACCTAATTTTCCATGTTCCAGTACTGATAAATCTAGGGTTTTAATGTTGAAGAATTTGAAAAACAACAAAAAAAATCTGTGAAGTACAAAGACATACCCTTGTTGTTTTTCCTTCAGGATGAAATGGATATAAATATGGGCATTATTACAGGAAGGATAAGTCCCTTTGATCTTCCCCCCCAATTCCATAGTTATTTCTGGCCTGAAAAAATGGCTATTTCTCAGGAGTAGTAGGTTTTGGACACCAAGGAATAACATGATGAGTAGCAGGTACTTTGAAAGAGGGCAGAATTGGTCTTTCATTAAGTACAGTGTTATATGACACAAAATAATACCTTTTCAAAAAAAATTTAAAAAATTGCAGACAGCCTTCCTGTCCTTCCTCAGAAAGCCTGGATTAATCTACTGGATTTGACTTTCAGGGCATGTACATATGAACTCTGGTTCCTTCAAGTCAGCTTGAGTGAGAAAATATAACAATATCTTCCATTTTCGATAACCGCACATAAATGTAGAGATCATCTCAATCATACAGGAAGCTGCATGTGTGTCTCAGGTACTTACGGTTGAACCATAAAGGTTGCCGATTACTCACAACAATTTCGCAGTAAGAAAAAACTGCAACAATTCATACCAGGGAACCAGTGTGTGTATGATATGCTCGATCAGTTAACTAATAAACATTGTGTTTCTAGCTTCTAATCAATGCCGTCAGATCCTAGATGTCTTCATGGGAGAGCCAAGGCTGACTAGAATACAGTGGTTTGATCTGGAGTTAGCAAAGGAAAGGATAATTCTTCCACATTTCTATCTTAAAGAGGCACCTTATCTATTGTGTCAAATACAGCAGTGAATAGATTGGCTGCCCTAGATGTTCACTGAGAAGTTCACGGGCTCAGAATCACTTTTTCTTAAAATCATCTGCAGCCCAGCTAGTTCTGCTGAGTTTTGAAAGTAAACAATTAAAATGAAGTGCTCAGGACTTTTTTTAACATTTCCCATTTCCAGAAATACGAGAGTTCTTCAGATGGGTGCAAGAACAATAACTGTGATTTCATTATAATCATAATGACTTGAGTTTGTGTCAACTGGATCTTGATTGATCCTAGAATAAAAAAAGACCATTGTCATTTGATAAACAATTAATATTAATAGGATTAATTAAGCAAATATTATTAATATGATTGTGAATCCAAAGCAACTAAAATCATGAGTGGCTGTCTTAAACATTACCAGATCTGTGTAATACGAAAAAACATTAAAAATGGTGGTTTGTGTGTTTTTTTGTGGTTTCTTTTTTTTTTCATTTTTCCCCCTTATGACTTATGTTCTCTACTAGAGCACTTGATTTTGGTAACCTCTGTGCTCATAGCAACTTACCAACTATTATGAGTACCAGGGACTTGAATAGTTTTGAAGAAGAAAGCAGAGGAGAGGCAGAACAGACAAGTAAATTTTAATTCCTAGAAAAATGTTGAAATAAATAATCAGGTAAATCATATGTAACCACAGGGACATGATCAATAACCAGTGCAGAATTGTCAAGAACAAATAGTATCAAACCCATCTTATAATTTTCTTTGACAGGATAACAGCTTTATAGCTGGAGAAGAAGCACTTGATGTCATGTCTCCTGAATTTAGTAGTGTTATCTCAACTGTCGCATATAATATTCTCCTGAGCAAATTTAGGAATTGTGATCTAGGTGAAAATATCATAGGCTGGATGCAGACCTATTTAGAAAACTTTACTCAGGCAGTAATTAGCATTGGTTTCTGTTTAAAAAGAAGAATGTGTTGTGTGGTATTTGGCAGGTCTTTATGCTGGATCTGGTACTAGCCAATATTTTCATGTTTAGTCCAGGTAGACTTGGAATGAAGGATATGCTTGTAAAATCTGGAGGTGACTTCAAGCTGGGAAGGACTAGGAGTGTACTGGAAGAGACTCTAAGAGTTCAAAACTGAAGATATGGTCTGAAAAATAGTGTGTAATTTAAAAGACAAATGCAAGGCATTGTGCTTCAGCAAGAAGAATCTATACTATGAGGAATAGAGAGAGACTGGTCAGAAAATGCCATCTCAAAAAATGATCTGAGCTTTATAGTAAATTATAACCTGCCTATATTCCTCATGTTTCACTGGAACACACAGACAGGCATACCATCTGTACAACAATTTGAGTAATCCTCCAATTTCCCCGGCAGTTGTGAAACCTCATTTTGACTCAGTACAGGTTATTGACCCTCACTTTCACAAAAGATGAGAGGCTCTGCAAACAAGAACAAAGGACAATCACAAATCTTGAAAAGGTGGTCTGAGGAGCAACTGAGCAAGGTTGTTGGTTAGCCTGAAGAAGAGTTGGCTGAGAAGGGAAGGTGATGGAAAAATAATGTTTTCAAACAGAAAAAGGTAGAGGACCACTTGTTCATCCAGATACAGTGTGTGTGAACAGGAGTAATGGAATTAATCTGTAGCATGATTCTGTTTGGATTTGGAGAAAGCCACTTTCAAAGTCTAGACATTAAAGCATTAGACCAGCTTGCCTGAGGACATTTTGGAGTCTCTGTTGCTGAGGATCTGGGAGAATGCATTAGACAAACACCTGCCCAAGGATTATATAAGTGTACTTAGTTTTCCCTTGGGGCTGGGAGGTGGATTGGATGATTCCTTAATGTCCCTTCCAGCCTGATTCTGTTATTTATTGTCCTCAGACTTTTCACCTGAACCACAGGGCTGGAAACACTTTTCAAATGTAAAGTTCCAATAGCATCTAATTATGAGGTCTGAGACTATAGAGTCTAGGTAGCTTTATAAAAATCATCACGTAGTGTAAGACTGCACACAAAGCAGCAAAACTTCCCAAGTCTGTGTTAGCAAACTCTGTGTTAGGAGAACTTAATCAGGACACAGCTCTCCCTGTGCTGCTGGCATACAAATCCATTCGACAGCTCAACTGCTTTCTCAGTGCTTTGCATCCTCTTTAAGAGAAGTAATGAACAACTGGAAACAAAAATGAATGTGAAGATAAGCATAATGGGAAGCAATAAATTTGAGGAAAGGATGTGAAAGAAATTGCTTTATGCATTTCTGAAAAACGTTCAGTGCCTGAGAGGACATGTGAGATAGCAGTTTTGAAAATATAAAATCTTGTTTGTTTTTTTGTTTGTTTGTTTGTTTTAAGTTTTCTGCAGGCAGTTAAGAATTAAGAAGGGACAGGGTTTTAAATGTTTTAAAAAAAGATTATTTTCATGTACTTGGAATTTCAGGTACTTATTTGTCATGAGCTTGACACTTGGCCTATAATTTCCAGTTTGATTTGCCCTCTGTTAAACTTCTATTTCTTGATCAGTAACAGAAGAAGAAAGGAAGGAACAGGCTCCCAAATGAAATGTGGAATACTGAAAAGGTCAAAGTGGTGCCACCCTGACATGTCGCAGAATATCTTACATATCAAAACCTACTTTCATTTTAATGACAAAGATTCTGTCTGGGATAAAGCACAGCTGGAAATTAAATATTTTACATGACAATGATTGTAAGGAGAATAGGGAATGGTACTTATTCCAACGCATTCTTCCATGCATTGTTGTCTGAAGACAATGATTATATTTACAGTATTTTCTGCTCCCATTTCAAAGTTAATCAATGATACCATTATAATCTTCTTGGCATTGTGATCAAATGATTTTGGTACATTGGCCAAAGGAATGAATTAATACAAAATGATAATGCGTAAGAGTTTAAGCATTAAACTGAGAGAAACTTGACTCATAGAGAAAATAGGGGAAAAGAAAGAAGCACATTTTACCAAGTCCTTATTAAACTGTTTGCTGAAAATTGTTCCCGTATTTACTTTGCTGTTAATGATGTTTGACAAAATAAATGTTGGAAAGTCTCTAATCAGGGTTTCTTTTAATGGTTCATTCCCCCCGCTATTAAATACCAAATGAATTTACCATCAGAGAGAAGACCATGGGATCCTTTTCGCTTTTTTACAGACATTTGGTTCAGAACAATCTCTTTGGTGTCAGAATACTTGCTCAGCTAGTGGAATGTTTGTACTGGACAATGTAACACATGCACAAATAGTGTACGAAATGCTACGCGTCAGGTTTTATCCTCACTAGTGGTCAGCGAAAAATTGACAGAAGCGCTGATGGATACTGGCAGTGAAATGCTTATGAAACTATCAGAAGAGGAGGTAAAAACGGTAAAGGCAGGGAACTTTAGCTGATCATTAAGAATAGGTGAGGAACTGTGGCATTGCTGGCCCCTTTTTGCTTGTCAATCAGTTCTGTATGTCTTACCAGAGGCGTAAAGAAGATAGCAAAGCGGATTTGGCACCAGATCTTTGACTGAGCCAAAATGACACAGCTTTGTAGCAGCTTTACCCCAGAAGAGAATGGTGTCCTTTGTATCAGTGTGTACTCTTAAATGCCAGGAACAGGGGTCTGTAGTTTTACCTACTCCCTTTACCCTGGTATGTTGAAGTCAATAGCATTTTTCTGAGAGGAGACCACAGTTACTTTATGATCCTTCGTAATATTTTACCTTTACAGTCACCTTGATAACTGTATACGTAGTTGTAATGAATACATATACTGAATGAATGCTACAATAGCTTTATTTAAATTGTTTCAGACTTCAACATAGCCAGCAGTGTTTT